ATAAATTCCGTGTATTATTTATGGTATTTATGGTATTTTATTATTTATGGCTTCTAAATATTAAAAATGAATTTAATTTCGAATTTTTATTTGAAATAAAAATTTTGCTGTTTATGTTATCTTATGAAATTTTATATTGTGGATGATGTAATCAATGACGTCACCTTACTTTAAAAGTAATTGGTTTTAATATGTATAAATTTAATCTATTGTTTTAAACATTATTTATGGCTGTTAAATATTAAAATACAATTTAATTTTGCATTTTTTAAAAAAAATGCTTTTATTATGTATGAATTTTTAAATAATTTTAATTCTAGGCGTGATGTAATAAGCTCTCTGATTGGTTATAGAATATTTGTGCATTAACGAGCTGTAATCAGTTCGCTGATTGGTTACTGAAAATTTGTGCATTTCCGCACCATTTTAAAATTTAATTCATATCTTCGAATTCCTTCAAAGATGTCTGTTTCTAAGATGAAAGTTGTTATTGATAAGTACCAAGAATTGTTGGTATGGGAATCAAAAAATTGTCCTTTGAGACTTATTTTGGCCAGCCTGGCTTTCCTAATCAAAGATTTGTTTACAAATTGTTACAAGGGTTAGAAGAAATTTATTTTAAATTTTTGGAGGAAACCTCGCTTATTGCTTCTTCAATGAAGTGGGAGAAATGTGTATCACAGATGAAGATGGTTAAAAGAGCCGATTCCGAGGACGGCCGTATATGGTATTGTGGTCACGGTGGAAGAAATAATCGCTGTAACGGTAAAAAAAAAGTATTAGACATTTCTCCTTTTTTACCGGCACTAAACTTCCAATTGCTGTCATTTGAGCTCTAGTGCACGAAATATTCATGGGTTATTCGTACGATAGAATTCAATGTGAGCTCGGTATTTTTTCAGAAGCTGTAGCCGACTGGCGCAGTTATGTAACCGACATTTTAATTAATTTTGTAGAAACTAAAACGGAGAAAATCGGAGGGCCAGGGAAAATCGTGGAGATTGATGAGTCCAAAATTGGGAAAAGAAAGTTTACCAAGGGTCGATTCGTTGAAGGGCAGTGGGTTTTGGGGGGAATAGAGCGCGATTCAGGTCGCTGTTTTTAAGTTGCTGTGCCAAACAGAATAGCGGATACTCTTCTCGCTTTAAGGATTGGATCGAACCGGGAACCCAGATTATTTTGGACTGCTGGAAAGCTTATGACCTTTTGAGCGAAGAAGGTTTTAGTCACTTTCAAGTTAATCATTCGCTCCATTTCGTAGATCCTGAAACCGGAGCTTATACTAACACAGTTGAAAGACAATGACGTGACTTCAAAAATTCTTTACCGGTTTACAATCGTCGAGGAGATTTTGAAAGATACATAGCCTGGTATTTGTTTAGGAAAATTTGTTCTGCACTGAATGAGCATCCATAGGTTAAATTTCTCGAAATTATTCGAGACATAACCTGGGATGATTGGCATGTAATTCAGGGAGGGGCGGTTAAAGGATCTTCGAAATCTTATCTTCGAAATAATACCTATTATTGGATTTTTTTTTCAAGTTTTTTTTGTTATTTTTAATCTTCATGATCCATTAATTTGGCTCTAAATTGCTTTACCTATTTATAAATTTTTTTGGTTTTTCTTTTAATTTTTTTTTTATTTTTGCCCTTGATATTACATTTTTCAAATTTTTTTCATTGATATCTAAATTATGATTCCGATTTTTTTGTGGTACTTATCAATAAAGAACAGGTTAAATGACTAAAAAATGTAAGTACATATTTTTTCTTTTATTTTATAATTGTATACTTCAATTTTTGTTAAAAAAATTAATACACTATTTTCAAAAATTGCTGAGATAATTATTGCCACATATGTTTTAATGTTAATTATATTCTATATAACGTATTTTAAAGTATTTGAATTTAATAATATTCTAATTCTTTTAAATGTTGGTATGATGGTTTTTAATTCGATATTCAATTTCAGTAATATTTTAATCTAATTAAACGTTGGCACAATGTTTTTATAGCGGTGTTTTTATTCTCTTCTTTGCTATATGAAAATAATAATAACCTTATTTTAGTATTTTATACTCATAGTAAATGTATTTATTTACACTTGCCTGCCATCTTAAAAAACGACATTTTCAACAAAAAATTAATCCATTACTATTAACGATATTTATGTTTTTTTTAAGTTTCGAATACTTTACTATAAGTAAAAACAGCTTTTTTCAAGATGGCTGACGTTTGTAAAAATCGCGCCAACGTAAATCGCCAAAAATCGCAACCGTCTACCAAAGTAGTACCAAGGAACGGTGACGAGCAGATTTTGAATTTTATAATTTCGACTGATGTAACGCCTGAAAAAATTAACGATGAAATGGAAAGCTGGGAATATTTATAAGGATGAATTTATTAACCATTTTCTCGCTTAGATTAGTGAGAAGTTAGGTGCCTTAGAACAGATAAATTTAGAAACTAGGTCGCAAGGTAGTGTTTCTAGTAATTCACCTCGTAATACTAGAATCGTTAAGCTCCCAAAAATAGAGCTTAAGAAGTTCGATGGAGAGAATTATTGAACTGGTTTTCCGTTTTGGTCTCAGTTCGAAAAAATACACGAGGACCCTGATTTGCACGAAAGTGACGAATTTCAGTATCTTGTGCAAAGCATGAAACAAGGGACGCGCGCTAGAGACTTTATTGACAGTTACCCAATGTTTGCGAAAAATTATTCAAAAGCTATTAGTGCTCTTAAGGAACGTTTTGGGAATCATGATTTATTAATTGAGGTATACGTAAGAGAGCTTGTAAAGTTGATTGTAACAAATGTTAAGACAGGCAGTAGTGAAAAATTACCATTGCCGCAATTATTTGATAAGATTGAAGCACAACTAAGAGCTCTCGAATCCTTAGATATTAAAACGGAAAGCAATGCTTGTTGGTTATATCCCATGGTAGAATCATGCCTCTCGGAGGAAGTCCTCAGAGCCTTGGCAAAGAAAGTCCCGCTTTTTGGAGAAGTAAAGGAAAGTCAGAATATTTCTCGCCTAACTAGATGAAATTTTTAAGTTGCAAAGTGGAAGGGGAGGAAAGACTTAAGTTAGCGCAGAGTGGATTTGAAATTTTTGGGCAAAAACACAAGTATTGCAATAAATCGAAAAGGGGATTAAAAAGCAAATTTAAATCGAAACAGTTAACGAATGTCCCTACGGCGGCAGATTTCCTTACGACGAAAGATAATAACTGTATTTTTTGCAATAAACTACATGATAGTAAGAACTGTTTCGAAGCACGCTGTCTGTCATTAGATAAGAAAAAGAATAAAATTAGGCAAGAGGTGTTGCCTAAAGTGCCTTTCGCCTGGGCATGTTGCTAAGTCATATAAACAGTTTGTACGTTGCTATGTGTGTGGTAAGGCTCACACAATTTCTTTCTGCCCGGATCTGCAGATGCAGGAAAGTCAGGAAAAGGCAACAAAGCCAGACACCATTCAGGCAACTACGGCGAGACGATGTGTTCCACAGAGGTAGCTCTCATGACAATTAAAGTCAATGTGTTAGGAAAATCAAGCATGAGAGAAGTAAGTACGAGCGCTTCTCGATTGCGGATCACAAAAATCATACATTTTGAAGTCTACGGTACAGGAATTAGGACTAATTCCCATTGCCGAGGAAAACTGTAGCTCACACGCTTTTTGGAGGGGTTAAAATTGAACCGAACGTACATAAAATGTATCGGATCAAGCTACGCTCTCTCAATCCTTATATGAGAAAAGAAATGGAATTTGTGTTTTTGGATCAGGAAGCTATATGTGGAAATATAGCACGCGTACCTAAGGGCCCTATTTTAAAAGAACTTAAGTGTAAAAAGATATGGCTTTCAGACATAGGAACAGGTTGCCCGAAGATAGAGATGCTAATAGGCAGTGACATTTACGGTACAATTCTTACAGGGAAAGTCAAACAGCTCGATGGAGGTTTGACTGCAATTGACACTACATTAGGATGGACTGTTTGTGGTCGACTTAAGGAGCATTCCGAACCACAAAGTAGTGGTATATCTACTCTGAATGTAAGTCTGACGTTTCGGGACCTAAACGTATCCGATCTTTGGAACTTAGAGACAAGAGGAATTTCAGATTCCAGCAGTAATTCTACAAAGAACGCGGAAGAAGATATTGCTTGTGAACATTTTTTGAGCTCCTTAGGTAAAAACGAAGAGCAAAGTCACGTAGCAGAAAAGCTTCGAAATTTTTTTTATGTCGATAATTGTGTCATGTCTCTTGACACAGAGGAAGAGTTGAAAGATTTTATGGATAAATCAATGACATTTGGCAGAAGCTGAGATGTCCTAGGTGTGTGAATTCGGCCTATAAACGACGTTAAAAAAATTTCGAAGAATGATAATTCGGAATTTCTTTCTAAGAATCAGATTTCAGTCTTGGGTATTCTATGAGATAGAACGGATTATAGCCTTTCTATTCATATTAAGCCTGTACGAAATCCAGACAACCTGTCAAAAAGAGAGATTTTTGTCCTTAACACAAGGAATTTTCGATCCGCTAGGGGTCTTAGGTCCTATATTATTACCGGCTAAGTTATTGATTCAAGAAGGTTGGTCTATTAAAGCAGATTGGGATTCTCCACTGTCAGAAGAGGTCAAACAAAAATTTTTGAAATGGTACGGTGAATTACAGATCTTATCAGATTTGAAAATACCGCTCAAAACAGAATATGGAAACAAACAAACATGGACATTCCATGTTTTTTGTGACTCGAGCCAGAGAGCTTACGTGACCGTAATTTTTTTAACGTTGCGAAAACAATGGTGACACATATGTAAATTTTTTGATCGCAAAATCTCGTGTTGCACTTTAAAAAAGATCACAATACCACGTGTTGAACTTTTAGTCTGCGCTTTAGGAGTACGTCTAGCGAAGTATGTTGTAGAGGCATTATCCTTAGACGAAATTGAAAACCATTACTGGTCTGATTCCGTCACAGCTCTGTCATGGATGTCAAGCGCAATAATCAATGGGAAACCTTTGTAGGAAATCATGTCAGAGATAATTGTGCACTTTCAAAGGAAAATCAATGGTCATACGTGCGAAGTCAGTTAAATCCAGCTGATATACCATCTCGTGGTTGTACACCTCATCAAATTCTAAAGAATTCATGGTGGGAGGGTCCTAACTGGTTAAACAATCCGAAGGATAGCTAGCTACGCCTTGAAATTAAACCCAATGAGGCATTAATTTCTTCAGAAATCAGAAAGAAAACTGTAGTATTAAACGTTAGTAAGAGTACTGATACATCTAAGTGGTATGAAAAATATTGTTACGAATTTGGCATTTAAATAATTAACGTTAGTTGAATTGTAAATTAGAAGCTTTTATTTCCCGCGCAGCGCAGCGCGTGACGAATATTAAAAGAAAGCTAAGCCGGAAAATTGAAAATACAAGAGCGCGTGCATGTAACATTTAATAAATATCTCTTTTTGATTTCGAGAAAAATTTTAGAAAATTCTCGCGCGCGATTTTAAAATCTTATAAAAGGAGGAAAACCTCTCAGTTCTAGGGAGTTACTTAGTTTGTTGTTGTTTAGAAAACTGCTCTTGTTGACTGTAGCGAATTCGCGGATTAGCTTTCTTTAGTTGTTTTGAATTAAGTTCTCTTGAACGTTTGAGTAGTTAGAGGATAACTAGTGTGATATATTGTGATACTGCACGATTATTTGAGGACATTTAATCATATTTGTTGTGATAATAATAAATTTTTGTTCATTTTTCATCGGACTTATGCATTTATTTCGTAACGAACCCGTACACACGCACCAATATTCTAAATTTTCAGAATTTGTAAGAATTTTAGCATGGATTCTAAGATTTATTAGAAGCTGCCAGGCAAAATCGGTAAATAGAACAAAATTCTTGTCTGTAGCCGCGTTAAAACATTCCAAAAACACTTTGAGTCTACTAGTTCAGCGTGAAAGGTTTTCTCAGACTGGAGATGTAATAAATGGTCTCTCAGTCGTCAGAGATGAAATAGGACTGATAAGTGTGAAAACAAAGATTATCGCAAGAGATGATGAATTTGGATTTAAATATCCAATTCTACTTCCGTCAAACCATCATATTGTCCAAAGTCTAGTGCTCGAATACCATAAAAAGAATTCTTATGTCGTTGTTCAAATATTCATGTCAATGATTAGAGAAGAATACTGGATTATTTCAGCTAGACAAACAATTAGATCAATAATCAAGAAATGCATTACCTGCAAGAGATTCACAGCAAAGTCACCTTCAACCATAACTTTAGACACCTTTAGAACATTCCGAATCATCTTTAGACAGAGTGCGGGACGCTCGAACTTCGAAGTCACCGGAATTGACTTGTGTGGTCCCCTTATTCTTAGGAAAAGGACTAAAGCCTGGGTGGTGCTGTTTACATGCGCAATCTACATAAGAATACACTTGGAGATCGTGACGTCCTTAAGTGCAGATTGCTGTGCACTTGCGTTGTGAAGATTCATAGCTCGACGAGGCTGTCCAACAGTTATCTATAGTGACAACGGCACGAACTTTATCGGTGTCTCTGGGTGCATTGAACGAAATTGTGTGGTAAAAGATAGCTGCTCTTGAAACTATAAATCCAATTAACTGGAAATTCATTTCCCCAACCGCAGCATGGTTGGGCGGTTGGTTGGAGAGACTAATTCGCATAGTGAAAAATCTACTTGTTCGAGTTCTTGGTAAGTCGTCTGTTACGTATGAGGAACTGCTCACAGTTCTTTGCGACGTAGAAGCCACCGTTAACAACCGCCCGTTAACATACATCTCCAACGCTGCAGATGAGTTGAGGCCTCTAACACCATCCAACTTTCTCCAAGATGTAAAAGAGATTGTAACGGCTGATCTTGATCATTTGGATAGGAACAAACTGGTGAAGAGAGAACGTTATTGCCAAGAACTGCGTGAACAATTCAGACGACGATTCTGGAAAGAATACTTAGGTCAGCTGGTGCAAAAAGCTGGCACATCTGACAAAATTTTCAAAGTAGGAGAAGTGGTCCTTGTTGGTTCTGAAAACCAGAAGAGAATTAATTGGCCACTTGCAGTGATTGAAGAACTGTATCCAGGGAGAGACGGCCATGTGAGAGTCGTCAAAGTCAAAACTCCACTTGGTCATCTCGTTCGTCCAGTCCAAAAGATTTACCCTCTAGAAGTTAATTCTTCTGAGGATCCCATTATACCAGATCAACATCCTACTAGTGACCCACCAGCAACATCACAGAATGACATTCCAATTCAGAAGGATATTTCAGCAGCTCGGATGTCAAGAAGCGGCAGAGTGATCAAGATACCTAAGAGACTGGGCAATTGAACTTTCGAACTTTGTTGATTTACCTCGAAGGTGGCAAACCAAGGTGGGAGAATGTTACGTAATGCTGTCAATAAACTTCGGAAGATATCCACGGTTATGAATAACTTTATTGAATGAACACGAGACTTTTAATGTATTAATGTTTTAATGACGCGAGTTTTATGTGTCCTTTTTTTTGTGGATGGCATCAGTTTTCGGCGTTGCCATGCACGTTCTAATCCGTGTTTGCTTAGTGATAGAAGTGTTCTATGAATTGAATGTTAATATGAATTGAATTCAATGATTATATTGTATTTTGTGTTCTCTTTATTGAATAATATCATAGTTCCTGCTTTGCTTCAAAGAAACTGTGAAATTGCTGACGTCGAGTATTAATAAAAGTGTTTATTCGTCAAGAAGCATGTGCAGAATTCAAGTAGATAAGATTTATTTCTTTTTCTATAAACATTGAAATTGTAAACAGATATTTTAATAGTAGACTCACGGTGTCTAATTATTATTTAGGTTTATATACGTATATTATGAACCTGTGCAGAACAACCGTTAACGGGTCTCGGCGTAGTTCTGATTTTTGGGTATTTTTGATAACATTTTCGTTACAACTATATCTTCTCCACGAGAATTTGCCCTGAGAGCGATAGCAATCCTACGGTTCTTCGTTTGGACCTTGGGAGGACATATACCCTACGAAAAGTGTAACTTGTGTCGTGTCTTTTATGTCACAAGACTCATCTATAGCAAGTCATAAGGCAGAAGCCAGCTGAATGTCTTCCATCTGCATATGTGTTACATTTGAAAACATCTTAGCAGTTCTATCTTGTACTGTTTTTGCAGATAACGGCAAATCTTTGATTTTTTTTATGATTTCTGGTTTGATTTTAATACCACGAAACAGTTATTCAGATGCACGTATAAAACAATCTTTGACGTATTTGACGTGAATGGGTTTACTCTTTTTGCAATTTCTAATGATACTGCAGAGCTTGGCAGATTTACATTATTGGAATATTGTACCCAGTTACTTAGCATGGAATATGACTGCTTTCTCTCTCTCTCCTTTTTTTTAAGCTCTTCAAGAACTTTTTTCGTGCGTTCGCGGTTGGATATTTACCAGCAAACTGGGTATATTTTGTAGTGAAGTGTCTCCCCAAATTCGACTTCTTATTGTGCGCGGTTTTTTGGTGGCAACTGAAACAACTCGGAAGACCATCTGTGTTGCATATGAATGCAAACGACTCCGCCCAATCCTGGTTGAATTGTCGGTTTTCTTCTTCAGTTCTTCTCTTTTTTTACTAGCTGCCATGCTGACGGCGGAGCTGACAAAATGAACAATAGTTCAAATTAACAGTACAGTAACAATGGTTCAAATTTATCTCCACGGTCATGTTAAGCGTAATTAACGATTATGAAAAATAGAAGCTATTGAGAAATTATGGACTTAAAAATATATTTTCTTATTTTTTAAGAGTTTTGATAATAAATTATACTTTTTTTCTGTATGGAACTGGAGAGCCGCAACTTTACATCAAAAGAGTCGCAGGTTGCCGACCCCTGACCTAGGGGGGGGGTGCCTCTGGAGGTCGGGGTAGTTATTACTTCAACATCGCAGTGGCTAATCGAACCGACGGTGAGAATAGCTAACAGGCTATTCACACCACCTACGTTGGTGCATGTGCACAATCAGCCCGGGTACCAGCATTTTACGCCGATTTCCTTTAGGCAGACGGTTGTGAGAGCGAATGTTGTTAATGTTCACCAGCAAGAGAATAATTTGCAAGTAATAATTATCAGTTACAAAGCCGAGGTCAATCTGTACATGATAATGTTCAGGAAATGATTAGATAAAATATGAATTTAATGATGGTTCTAATTGCAAGCGAGGACGAGTAATTAGTTAAAAAAATCTTTAGTGTATTGACAAAAAGGCTACAAAATTTACTTAAATTCTTTTATTTAACAGAGGAATTTTTATGCAAACTTAGACCCTATTCTTATAGCATAGGACTATCAGAATTTATTACTCAATAAAAAATTACTGAAAATGATAATATTCTTATATATTCATCACTTTTTCAGTATCCACACAGGTTTATAGGCCATATTTCAAAATCAAAGTTATTTATGAAATGAAACTTTACAAAATCTGATAAATCATTTGTGTGTGCAAATTTTTAAATCTAAATCTCTTACATTAAATTATTTCTATCTTTTAAATTACATCCCATTATTTATTTCAATTTAATTGATTAATGTGTTTGTACTAATATTTCAAAGTTCTTTGAAGCACTTTTTGTGTCCTGAAAATGCCAAGTATTTTCCATAAAAAAAATAAGCAGGCATACAGAATAATTCATTTAATAGTTGATATAATCGCTTTTAACTTATTTCACGTGTAAATTTTCTAGACAGAAATCGTCTGTCTAATTTTTAGTATCTTTTATCAGACGAAATTTTTCAAAGAGGAATGAATTAAAGTCTTGATTGCGCAAAACACATCTTTAAAGCTAAATGTATTCTAAGAAGTACAAAAAATGTAAATAAGATTTTGTCCCCGCCCCAAATCAGACATTTAAACAATTCAAACCGTTCAGGAAAAGGATAAACATTGCGAACATAAAAATCTGCTCTTTTTTATATATACTTTAATAAAAGGAAATGTGTTCCTTCTTTTTATAAGGAAGGGAACCCATTTTCCTTTCTAAACTTTTGAAAGTTACCAACGCTTAAAAAATGATAAACTGCGCCGAGGTAGAAATCCGCCTTAAAAAAAAAAAAAAATTCACTACAACAGTTCGCGTACGTAGAATCAGTTCCTTTCGATGGGGTTCAATTGACGGATGACAACTCAATGCGCATGCGTGGTTAATGTTGGTGCGAATCAAGAAGGTTAGAATATAAGGGGGGAGGGTTCGCAGTTTCCTCCACTATCGGGGAATGAAACTCCCGAACAAGCGGCGTCCATGTTTGTAACTTCAAAGCATTGCATTACGGCAGTGAAACGTACGTGTTTTCAAGCTGTTCCGTGCATGTATTTTCCACTAAAAATACGTAAAATTTATAATGAAATACTTCGCTATTGTTAGTTTTTTGTTTCAAAGTTATAAAGGTGATATCCGTAATTTACTACGTACAGAAAATCATTAAGAAGTAGTTCGAAATCTAAATGCATGTGCATAACATTAAAGGCCTTTAAAAATAGAATTTGTTTAGGTTTTATTAGCAACCTGTTGGGTGTACTTTCCAGTTTCCCTTAAGAAGTGATATTTCTGATTTATTCACAATATTGTAATTTATTAAAGAATCATTTAAAATATATTTAACCTGAAATTAATAGCAGATAATTATCTAAAAAATAGTCACAGTTGCATTTTTTTTAAATGAAAGTTTTAGATTCTTTTCACAACTAACACCCTTATAACAACAAGAAAATAAATATTAATAAAATAAAATAGATTTATGTGAATTAAGTGATTTCGGTTTATGCGCTTTCATATTTATGAATCTCAAAGAAATTGCCTTGAATTAAGCTAAATTAGAGAATTATACCTATATTTTTGGATACATCTTTCCACATGTTCAGTTGTGTAAATATTTTACTTACTTTTATCGCTATACTGCCCACAAATTTGTAAATTTATGCAAAAGCATTTTAACAATAGAAAAGTTAGTTTATCTTCATCAAATGCACAAATTATATTCTTAATAGTTCAAAACTTTAAAATGAATAATAATTAATACATAAAGAAAAGCATTACTTTATTTAACACTTTTAAAATTCATAAAAATAGTAACAATTGGTGTCTTACTTTTCATGAAAATTATCAAACGAACGTTCAAATTATACAGTTCAAACGTTCAAATTATACAGTTTAAATCCTAGCATACATCATAAGGAACAAAGATACAGCTATAAACAGAACATTAAAATGTATTTAACATATTTTGATTATTATTAAGTCCCTTTTTTTAATCTGGAAGAAAAACATGACATTGTGATATTTTTCCATAGTATCAAATTACATAAAAAAAATCAATACTTACGCGTGAAAAGTAATCCAGGAATCTTTCGAAATCTGTTTGTGTATCCATATACAACACAAGCTGACATGCTTCAAAAAGAAAAGAAAAAAATATTGCAATTACAGACTTCCTTGCACAAGTCACAGCGATAACAGAAACATGGCCGCCAAGCTTCACTGTTTGAGTTGAACCTTCCCTCCTTCTATTCTAACCTTCTTGGTGCGAATAGCTTAAGCGGCTAATCGCACCGGTGGTGCGAATAGCATAGTCCCTCCAGCATACCAGGTTTGGGATCTGCTTCATCTGGTGATCTGTATTATAATAATAATAAGTCAGCAAGCATATCCCTTTTTTCCCTAGTACCCACTGAAAGCCATTCCATGATCTAATTATTTCCGTTAGAAAGCATTCCGGCACCTTTCCTTTCTATTCCTCTCACCTACGTATATTGAACTCGCCCAGCTAACATGCGTTCCGAGATTGACGGTCTAGTGGAATTTCCCCGCTTAGTTCTCAATTAAAGAAAAAATAAGAATAATAAAAAATAGTCCAATAAGATGCGGCGCTCCGTCTGTTGACCTTCGCCGAGCCGTTATGTATTATGTAATCGTCTGTCTGCATTATGTATTATGTAATCGTCTCCAACAGTATATTTTATATTTTCTTGGGTCATATTTTACAAAGGATTCTGATTATTAATTGTAAAAACACATCTAAGAGCTCTAGATCATGTATTTTTTCTAAAATTACTACCTACTTTTGCTTTTTTATTGATTCTCTGTTGACAAGCATCACAAAGTGTATAGGAGAACAACTTTCCCACGCAAATTTTTTAGATGACTCAGAATTTCTTAAAAAAATATTCTGATGAATTCGATACATTTTAATATTTGTTAGCTAACAAAATCTTGACACATCTTTTGGCATTGTCAAATTACAAGTTAAAATGTCATTACCAAAGCATTCCTCACGGGTCACAA